CAGGGTGACATTAATTTGCTGAGCTTTTGAAAGGATCCTGTGTTAAAAGATAGCGGAGCGTTGTTAGTAGACCTTCACACCACCATAATTGCTTGTTTACTGCCTCTAGTAACAACATTGAGCCAGGCAAGTCCAGGTGAGCAGTTTGCAAATATTACAGAGTTCCTCACTAGTGAAGTGAGTAGCTTTTAGCCAAGGAGTGGCAGAGTGTTCTAGTAAAGGTAAGCAGCTGCGGATAAACCTGAAGTCTGGGTTTCTCACGTATTTCTCATTCTTTCAGAATCCACAGATAGTCAAATCTTTTTCTGTTTCTGTTGCTTTCAGCAAGCAACTGATAAGGCAGAAGCAGTATGAGGCTCTGCTTTTCCCTTGTTCTGCACAGCTGTTTTAAAATGAACGTCGTCAGTCCCTCGTTTGATATCGTTACTGGCGCAGGGAGCCTGATGGGACTGGCTTGGCTTCCTCGTACAGCAGCCAGCGCAGTGGCCGGGCTGAGACTGCATCTCACCTCTTGGGTGAGATTTTGGTGAATTCAAAGGCAGCGTTGCCTTTGCAGGACAGAGTAGGTGGCTTTGATGCAGTGTAGCAGAAATGACCCATGCCTTCACTGGCTTTTCTGAAGATTTGAATAACATCAGAGAAAAAGTGTTTCTTTTGTTCTGATTATATTCCTAAGCTTTGTAAACGCAACTGTTTCCTGTGACTCACAATAGATCAACTTTTGCGAGGTATTAATATGAGTTGGTCTGTGAGGGCTAAGAAGAGTGAGCCTTTTGTCACGAGGCTTATTTCAGCTATACTTAGCTCTTTGTCTCAACTGGAAATTCTTAGGGGTCTGCAAATCAGAAAGGTCAGCAACTGTAGTATTAGAAACCCTGATAGATAGTGCATGAAAATGAGACCTGACCTCTAAAATGAGAAATGAATCTCGATTACCCTTGAACAACACCCTGATGGCGTTTCTAAATCCCTCTAATTTTGTACAATGTACTTTGTGTGCATCTCTTTAACTCGCGTAGAGAGGGAGTCCTTTTAAGGCGAATTCTTCAGAAAGCACACATCATTGACTCCAGTGTAAATTTTAACAATGGCTTTGGTGTCAGCAGAGGTAGGTGAATACTAACGGCTTTTGAAGCTCTTGCCTTTGGACATGTTCTGCCTTGCAGATTTTAAGCTTTCTTGTGTGCTGAGGACACAGGGGGGAAGAGTTGGTTCCCATCTGCTCCCAGCCCTCTGTGAACACGGCTTGTGGGCCTCAGCAAACCACACAACCTCTGCGTGCTTTCCTTGTGGTTGGTTTTGACTAGGGAGTCTTGACGGGGTTGGCTTTAATAGCGACGCTTAGTTGAGTTCAGAAGCGCACGTGCGCAGGAGCACTCGTGGCAAGCGTCACTGCTTCATTCCAAAGACAAATAAAACTGATGTTAGCAACTTTCTTCTACTTACTGTTGCCTGTTGTCCACTTTGCATGTAGTTTGTCCTCCCGTCTCCGGCTTTTGGTAGGAGCAGCTTGGAGTTGGTAGTTGCGTTGCAGGCTGCTGGACATGGTTGCGCTTGGTTGGAGGTAGGCAGTTGTGTTCATTTATGTGGGAGACTGAGCTGAAGTTTTTGAAGTTCAGGGAAGATGTGAAGAGGTGAAGGAGGGAAAGCAAAAAAGGGTATGTTTCAAATCAAAGCCTTTTGATGCTGAAATTGCCTGACTCAAACTCTGTCTTCACACATCAGGGCTTAATGCTGATAGTGATTTACTTACACTTCCTAGTTAATAATTAGACATTGGGAGACACCATATATCACTCCTAATGGAATATATGGGGTCTGATGAGAGTTTTCTGTTTTGACTAATAAATTTTAAGCAGAATCACTAAACTTAATGAAATATTACAGCTTTGGAAGTGTTTTAAGTCTTGTGCTGTGAAAACAGTGTTGCTTTATTCAGTAAATGAATTTATCATTCATTCTGTATCCTGAGCCCTAGCTGGCTCTGGAGCATGGGCTGAATGCAAGACTCTGAACTAGAAAGCGGAAAAACTAATCAAATCCTTAAAGACCAAAGGCAGCGAGGCAGGTCTAGACTGACTTTTTCAGTGGTAGCCTCTGGCTACATCCACTTTTATTTTAGTAACCATTGTTAGCATGATTTATAACTTTAGCTTTAAGACGTACACTATTTAGATGTAATAAGATGCTTCGCAGCTTTTATTTCTATTCCCTAATTTCCCTCTTGTCCCTGCTTTTTTTTTTTTTACTTCCCCCTCATCTTTGTCTCCCTCTCCTCTCCCCAGCGGTCTCCCCAATCCTGCAGTTGACGCTGCACCGAGAGAACGTTTCACTGTCAGCCCCAAGGTCAACAAAACCACGTCTGCCTCAACTAATGGCTGATCGGCTGGTGGCCTAGTTAGTGCGGAGGAGACGGCTGTGTGCAGGGTTTAGTCTCCTACTGCTGCACAAAGCTTTTCCCTGCTAATTCTGGTGAGAGGATCCTCTGTACGCAGAGGAGAGGACATGCCCCCCAGCAAATGATGGGATCCCTGCTGTCGCCGTGCTAAGTGCCACGCAGTTCGACTCCTCGCCCTTCACAGCTGTCAGGGGAAATGCTGCCTTGCTGGAAGGAGAGTGTTCCTGTCCAGCACAATCCTGCCCGCCTCCCAGGTGCAGCGTTAGGAACCTGCCCCAAAAATGCATCTCTTTCTAACCCGCCTGGACTTAAAATGGTGTGAGACCTTGGTGACTCTCCTTAATCTA